GTGCTCAGCAGTGTGCAAGGGTAAGTTGTTCTAACTCGGGCCCTGCACACCTGTTTGTGACCCTGCTCAGCTGTTTGTGACCCAATACAGGTAAGCTAGTCTTTTGCATTGGGGGGGGCAGGCCAGATGACAGCTGTTCTAGGATGGTTATGGTTAGATCTGGAGCAACTCAGATTGGGTTGACACATCTCATCCTTCAAAACAGCCTAGCATCAGGCATGTCCCTCTGTGGCAATGGCATTGAGAAAGATTGCAAGTAAGAATGTGCAGGTGCTTCAAGCCTCCACTAGCATCCTATTGTTCACAGCAAGTCACAGGCCCAGGCCCACAGTCAGAGTGGGCGGGCATGACCAGATTACCTTCCTGAGAATACGGAGAGAGGGTGGGGTGAAGAATTGGCCCCTGGTGGAGTCGATCTACTGTGCCGCAGGTGAGATCTATTGGGCCACATACAAAAGGCCATCAACGGCTAGGAGGCAGAGCCTGGATTCAAACTTGAGCCATCTGACTCCAGCCCCTCCCTATCCACAGCTAAGGAACCAGGAAAGGCTACAGTGGACAGGAGCCCTTCTGTATCAGCCTGGGAGAGCCTGCAAGTCACTTGACAAACAACACGTCGAAGAAAGTATGGGAACCATGTGATTTTAAACAGTTGGAGAAAAAAGCCCAATTAAGAAAGGAAAGCAGGAGAAATTAAAACCAAATGCAATATTGCAGAGATAAAGCTACCATGATAGCAGAGCTTCTGAAGAATGGGCCTCTATGTTTGCAAAAAGAGCAAAAGTGATCTGGCCAGAAGAATAAAGCATTTTATGAAAGAAATAAAAGGGGGAATGAGATAAGGATAAAAATATGAGTTTACAGCATTTATACTTCAAATGTTATTCATTTGTTGTGTCTGGGTTTTATTTTTTATTGGGTAGGAGAAGAAGTCTTGAAAATGTGCCTTATGTAAATATATTTTTATAGTACAACATGCCATACTCCTGAGGTTTACTAACAAAAATACACTTTGCAAATTATAAAGCTCTTTAGAAATTCAGAGAATCATTTATTATAGCAGAGCCAACTGTCTTTCTTGAATGAACTAGACTGGCCAGTTGACATTGATCTGAGCCACCAGCCACCTTCTGTTTCTAGGATTTTAGATCGACACAAGAAAGCTAAGATAAATAACTGTATTCAATGACTGCTTTCTTAAAAGTAATCCTGATTGTCCATTAGAGTGGTGTAGGGGCTGAAAAAATTAAAAGCAAAGAAAGAGGTCATTGGTGTTAGTTTATTTAAAGTAGATTCTTTATGAAGGAGCCTACTGAGGTTATTGTACCCACATTCAGCTTCAACACAGAGGCAAGTGAACAGGTAACATTTTCATAGCTGATGAGTGACTCATTTAACTTTATCCTCTGGCTAACTTCTAACTTGGTGTCTCATGTGACAGAACATTTTCATTACAAGGCTAATCTGAATGTCACAATGACATTCAGGAATATTAGCATCATTGTCCCTTGTCCATGCTCATATTGGGTCTGCTGTTCTGACTTTTTTCCCTCAAAGTCTCTGGTGCTTCCTTATTGAGTATATTAAAGGCCACACAGGAGAGCTGGATTTTTTTTTTTTAGAAGTGATTGTTCAGGCAGGACAGGAAGGATGCCCCCATTAATGGGATTGGTGAGAAAACTGAATTCAGTTCTTTGAGAAAACTGAATCTTGCAGCAGGAACTTCGGGTCTCCTCTTACTGCCAGTGCAGTTGTTTTCAACTAACTTGTCTACTTGTCCACACTGTTTGCTGTGTGCCACATTTGCACTGGTAATCAGAACAGTAAGAATAATCATTAATTTTGTGAGTGCTGAATTTGGTGGTTTTCCTACATTACCTTATTTAACCTTCACAACAACCTTTCAGGAAGCCATCATTTTGCATATTTTTTAAAGAAAGAAATCAGAGGTTTACAGAGCCTGAATAATTGCTCAAGGTCACCAGCCTAAGGACTGGCAGAGCTTGCCTTCAATTTTAAGCTATGGCTCTTACTTCTACATGAAACTGACCCATTTCTTATTCTTGAATTTGTTCTTACACCTTAACTTGGGAAGATAGAGCCATATATATCAAGAAGGTTGTAATACTGTGGATTTCCCATGATTTATATTTATCCTAACATTCTCTGCAATGCCAGACAAGCTTCCTGGTGTAGTAGGGTCCAGAAGTCTAGGACTCAGTTCTGGCTCTCTGATTTAATGGGCTATGTGATCATAAGCAAGCCAGCTGGCTTTCTTGGCCAGCTGGCTTCCCCATTTCTAAGAATGAAGTTACTAATCTTTGCTCTGCCCACTTCTCTGGGTGTGTAGTGAGGATGAACGAGGATCAAGTAGGTGAAAGTACTTTGCAAACGATAAAGTAATGCACACATGCTGTTGTGATTTCTGCCTTATTAATCTCCTTCTTGGGCCTTGGAGCAGCTGTGTTGTGTTCTCTGTCCAAAATGGATGCATAGCTGGGCAGGCAGGCTAATATCATCCACCTTTAACAAGCTTACCCTCCCACTGACCCGCTGCTCCTTTCCCATGCACGCTGATGATTTATCTCTTAAAAGCAAAACAATATGTCCCGATCACTTCCCTCCTTCCATTGCACTTGTCACTCTGTGCTTGCTTGTTGTGTTTTTTTTTTCCTACGGCACACAAGGAATGGGAACCAAATGCAAACATCACCACCAATTAACACATGCTTATATCTCTTGGGAGTGATTTTTGTCCTCTCTCCCAGAACTCAAAGGGTGCAGTTTTCCCTAAGTTTTTCTAAGTCCTGTGCAAACATTCAGCTATGCGATACAGATATTCTTAATGTAAGAGCAAGCTGTGACTGTTCCAGTGATTGAGCTTTTTGAAAATTATGAGTGATATCCCCAGGATCTCAGCGAAGCCCACTGAAAAATCTGTTTACCCTAAAGCTACTTTGTTTGGAAACTGTCTTTGACTTAATCCAAACGAGGATGGAAGCCTCCCTTCTGCCAATGGAGAGGAGTGGTGCTAGGGTGACCAGCCAAGTGTCCCATCATTAGCACGGAAAGTCTCGCGATCCAGCAAGCCCTCAGTACTGAGCAAACCAGACAGTTAGACACCCTGGAAGTGCAGCATCTGCACCAACCCGTTGCCCCTGCATTTTTCACGGGCTCCAAACACAGTGAATAATTGTCACCTATCTGCTGCTTGCATGAAGCCTTTTTTTTTTTAAAGTGTTAAGAAAAAAATAAATAAACCCTTCAGTATTTTATTTTAGCTCTTTCACCAAACACTCTGTACCCTAGTAAGCTGTGGCTGAACTCGTACAGTTCACACCTAAAGAATTTAAGGCTAATGCCTCCGCCTGTCGCCTCTGAAGCCACTCTGGGTTCTTGCTGCATATTTTGTATTCAACCCTCTCGATAAATTATCGGCTGGTTTTCATGTGTAGCTCTCCCAGAACAATAAAGCAAAAAATGTTTGTCATCCATAGAGTACAGCTGCAAGAAGTGCGTGGGAGGGATAATTGGATGACGCCCAGGGAAGGGGGGAAATGAGAAAAGCGTTTCGTGGAGGATGCGGGGTGTGTGCACCAGGCAAGCCCGCGGCCCGCAGAGGACCGAGCCCGCCGCGCTCGCTGGCCCAGGGCCCCGCCGGCTGCACGCCCCGCTCCCCCTGCGCAGCCTCGCTCTCTCCGCGCCAGGGAAGGCCAGGCCTCAGCTGCATCGCAGTCCCACGACCCAGGACACACCCATCGCTGGCCAGTGCAACGCTGTCTGCTCACTCAGGCAGCTGGAGGTAGCCCGAGGGGGAACTTCAATTCTGCTTCCAAGAGGGCCACCAAGCTAGAAAAGGCCAGTCGCCTTTAACCCCACAAGAGGGGCCCTTTGACAGTTCCGCTTTGATTCACTGTGAGTTTGGGACGCACCGCGACAGGCAGCTGTCAAGACAGGGCCTCTGGCAGAAAGACGGAGGGAACATAGATGCCATGAAAGAAACACTACGGATGTTTGATCCTCTTATCCGCATCCTGCCCACTCTCAGATTTCTCTTAGACAATGGGAGAACTTAGAGGAGTCCGCAGACAAAGAAGCATTTATTCCCACTAATCTCAGCAGGGCCGGCTTCTCCTTTGAATTACTTCTCAAGGAAAATCTCAAAGGTTTGAAAATCATCCCAGGAGTTGCTAAGCTTTTTATGTAGCATGCAGGCCCATCAGTTTAAAGTTCAAAACTGAAAGATGACATCTCTGTATTTTCACGTGTCATGTGTAAGGAGGTGTGTGTGTGTGTGTGTGTGTTTGTGTGTGGTATGGGTTATCCTTTACAAAACACGTGAAGGATAGTAAAGGCCAGGCTTTAATGGTGAATGTCACTGTAACTCTGGAATGATACATAAGGCAAAATCTGAAAATAGCATTCATCTCCCACACAGGGCAATTTAGACAAGTGCCACAGGGCTTGGAGAAAGGGAATCATAGTATTAAAGGGAGAAGAAGAAAAGAGAGAGGTTTGATTTGAGCTCCATCTGCTAACTTATCCTTTCTAAAGAAGAGAGAGCGTGCTCTCAGGAGGGAGGTGAGGATTGATATTGCACACTCACCAAGTCTGCTGCGTGAAGAGCTTCAACCATGGAGAGCCAATCCTCTGGGGTCCTGGGTCCTTAAGCAGTACGTAGAAAACTGCCACAACAAGGAGCAAGGAGACAGCCCCCGTGCAGTTTAGAGAGACCTCTGCAGATCCCTAGGACATGTGGCCGGCTGCAGTACTGCAAAGGTGGAACAAGACTATGCAGTCTCCCTACTGCTTAAAGTATAGTTCTGTCCCTACACCAGGGTTTCTTAACCTTGACACTATTAACATTTGAGACTATATCAGTTAGGGTCTGTCTTAGTCCATGAAGGCTTCTATAACAAATAACCACAGACAGGGTGGCTTAAACAATAAACATTTATTTCTTACAATGTTAGAGATGGGAAGTTCAAGATCAAGGTGCTGGAAGATTTAGTGCCTGGTGAGGAATTCCTTCTTGGTTTGAAAATGTCTTTCTTCTCATTGTATCATTGCATGGCAGAGACAGACTGAGAGAAAGAAAGGGGGGAGGGAAGTGTACATAAGCTCTTGTGTCTCTTCTTCTAAAGGCAAAATCCCATTCATGAGGGCTCCACTTTTATGACCTAATCACCTCCTCCCAAAGGTCCTATCTCCAAATATCTTCACACTGAAAATTTAGGCTTCGACATACAAATTGTTTTAAGGGGATACAAACATGCAGTCCATAGTAGACCTTCAGAGAAAGAAAATTTCATATAATATGACCTTCCACTAGAAGTTGTGGGACCTCTTAGGCCTTCAGCTGATCAGATAAAGCCTCCTGACATTATGAAAGGTAATCTGCTTTACTTAAAGTCAGTTAATTGTAGAGCCTAACCACATCTACAAAATATCTTCACAGCAACACCTAGATTAGTGTTCGATTAAATAACTGAGCTCTGTAGCTTGGCCAAGTGGACGCATACAACCAATTATCACAAGAACCTACTTGACAATCCTTTGTTGAGAGAGGCTTTCCAATACCACTGTAAGGTGTTTAACAACATTCTTGGTCTCTACCTGATAAAAGCCATTTAGCGCCCCCTCCAGTTGTGACAAACAAAAATGTTTCTGGGTATTGCCAGAAGTTGCCTGGGGGTGGAGGTAAAATCACCCTAGTTGAGAACCACCTTTCTAGGCCATGAAGTAAAGAACTTGGGTTTTGGGTGTCGCCCCACAAACAGCTCTGCATTATCCACAGTTTAACATAGAGAACCCAAATAGTAACGCTTGCTTTTTCAGATTCGTGTATTTGCACTCAGGTGCTATTTTAACACATTGAAGGTTACGGAGCTGAATTAATATTCTTGTAAGTCTGCAATGGGCAAAATTTCTAAGCCTTTGTATGAAGCAGTCTTATAATAGGTAGGAAACACTGAGTTTCACCTTCAGGTACTATCTTGTACTCTCTTGTTGGAGTGACAGTGACTTTTCTCCTGAGACGTAGAATTAAAAATGAAATAATGATATAACCAAAGGTGAAATTTGTCCCAGAAGCCTCAGTTAACTTGTTCCAGCTGGGAACTGCACTCAAAAGATGGTTTCTACTAAAAACTCTGGAAAATCTTAATATCCTGCTTTTATTTGATATTTCATTGAACAGAATATTTTTACCTACTGAATATGTAAAAATAGCTTTGAGCTTGATATATAGATGAAGGCAATTTGACAAAGATTCACTTATCCTAAATTATAGATCTTTTTTTTTCTTTTTCAGTGCATTGCTATTAACAGATTTTTATATGTACCCCTCTAATATAAAAGAAAAGAAAAAAAAAACATGTCCTGTGCTCTTCCAACCATCTGGTGTGAAGTGACACATGGATCACAAACTGCTATTTAAAGCACTGAATGCATTATCTATACCCATGCATGATTATCTTCTGCATTGTTAAGTTCCTGCTGTGCCTGTGTAATTCCGGTATTTTCTTGGTCATGCACAACTGTATATCATCTTATAAACAGCCCATATACATTGAAAAAGAAAACCCACAGAATTCTTTCAGGATATGTTAACTACAAAATTCTGGTGCTGAAATTGGAAAACAAAGGCTCCAAAAGGCTAATAAATCATTGTTTGTAGCTGGAACATATTTATTTAGTTGCTTTAAGCAAGGCAAGGAAAAACATCTAATTTGGAATTTTGACCCATTAAATATCATGGCAGAATATGGGCATTTTTCGTTGGCATTCCCCTTTGTTCATTAAACATGCACACATACACACAGCTTTTTTTATTGGGTTCTTAAGTGGGCTGTGTCTTCTGCCTGATTTACAGTGTGATCAACTGAGAATCAGATGTTTGGATGTGCTTACTGCGAAGTACACTGGACATCGACATTTCTGGTCCAAAAAAGTGGTCATTTTACAAATTTAGCTTTAAAGGGCCTGTGTGGATCCAGGCTGGAGCAATATTCTGGGTTCTTTTCTGAAGGAAGACTTCTTTGTTTTCCCCAAACCCACCTGGATGTTAATGTGAGGCTACTTCTCAACAATAGATGAGTGATGACAACTTCTATCCTCTTCCAAATGTTTAAAGAGAAATTGATCTAACTGGCGAGAGAAGTAGCAGCCAAGATGTTGAAGGATTTTTGTTTTCATCCTTAATCTTAATCCTCTCTGTGTGGCCCTTTTCATCCTGCCTTAAGACAAAATGAAAGTGATTTATGTATCTTTATGCTGTGCATGAAACACAGATACATGCTCCACGTCAGTGTACTTGGACAAACTCTCCCAGGTTAGAAGTTAATCTTACACACTCCACAATACAACAAAAGCAATATTCTCCATTATGGTGATATCACTAGTTAGTAATTTTTTCCACTTTAAGCCTTGGAGTTGTACAGCACTGTATTGTTTGCTTGGGGGAGTCATAAAATTATGACCCCACCTACTCTCACAAACCTCACAAATTCTAACAAACTGTTTTTTCACTATACTATAAATACACAAGCAAACATTTAACATTATTCTTGCAAACAAAACAAACAAAAAGAAAGGGTTTGGGTTTGTCCTGTGTAAAGGTAAGCATTTTCCCCTTAAGAAAGCAAATAGCCTTTTTGTTATGTTTTGTTTGCAAATTCACCATAGCTTGATGGTGAAAGGTGAACAGCCTAGATTTGTTGCTTGACATAGTTATTCTCATTTATCTCTTACAAGAACCTTACAAAGTAGATATAATTATTTCCATTTGCCAATATAAATATTGAGACTTCTCTAAAAGTGCACAATTAATAAGAGGGGATATTTGAAAATATATCTTATTACCAAGCCCATAAGTATGACATGCAGCTTATTAAGATTTTTGAATGATAATCTGGACAATTTCACACTCAGAACCCCAATATTCTCCCAACTCTGGGTTAGAAGATAGCAAATGTTACTATGCTTAATGCAGATTCTAATGTCAAATGTCCAGTATTAAATATATTGAAAGGATGTAAGTCAATAACAGCTTCCAGAGTGACATACAATCTGGACGATCAGGTGATTATGGACAGTGTCTTTCCGTAATGAGACTTAGAAGCATGAATCTATCGGCAAACCTAAATCTGTTATAGTTTTAAAAAATATGTCCCATTCTAGAGTGTGAGGCCTTTCACAGAGTATAGTGAACATTTACCTAGGTTCATTGAGATGAGTCAATAAATTTCAAAGCTTATTGAGTCAAGAGAATCTCTGGCAAAACAATTCAACTTTTTCTCTTATCCATAAACACATATCAAACCAACACTCACAATCTTATCTCTTGGTAAAACCTCAATCATATATGCAAGAATAAAAACCACTGTGAGTGCAGGAAATGTCTCTCTTCTGCTTTTGCTGGGTTTCCTGCACCAAGACCAGTTTCTGGCTTCCAAGAAGTAATCCATAAATATTTACTAAGTGAGTGAATTAGTCATGGATTAACCTATGAATAAATGTATTTTATGTCATGGAGATTCTAGATGCTTCCTACTGTGACTTTTAAAGTAATTATTCGAAAGGAGAGATAGTCTGAAATAAAAGACAAAGGCACTTAGGATTTGTCACTGGCTGAAGGAGAGCCTAAAACCTATTAGAAATCAAGTAAATGTATATTAAGTGATTAAAAGGATAAAAGGAAATATGTGGAAAGGATTATTCATAAAACAAGAGTTATCCCAAGAAGGCTGCACCATGGACCTAGACTCACCTTGTAAATGAATAGTTGGCTATAGTAAAAAGAAAAGATAAGAAAAGCCTTGTAGTTCTGCCAATTTTTCCACTGTTGCTTCGCCATCACCTACTGTGTAAGACATAATTGGCTTGAGAGAAGTGGAGAGGGGGAGGTTCTCATTATGGATAAGTTAATGATGTACAAAATAAGTACTCCAGAGCCTTTTGCATTGTGTTGTTTCCATTTTATGGTTTTAGGGAAGAGAATTTGACATTCATCACAGTCAGATCCAAATTCCTTCAAGATGATAGAAATGTAGTAACACTTGACATGAAAGAGTTCCATTCAGCAAGTTCATGGGCAGTGCTCCTGCCAGACTCCTGGCCTTTTCTTTCCCTGCCATGGATTTCTTCTTTTTAAGACATGTCAACCATCTCATTGCATGTATGTCTCCTGAATTTACAACTCTTGACTTTCTTTATTTCCTCCTAACACTATATTTCTTCCAACTTACCCAGCCAATTATCTCTATTTATCATTTTCCCGCTATTTTATATTTTCCACATGTCTTGCCAGTATCCTTATAAGGTGCATACTCTAAGCCCACACTCCCTAGTCCAACTCCTCTAAGTAGATTCCTTTCCCAAGGTGTTAAATGATAATACAGTCACTAATTCTGAAACTTTTATTTTTTTCCCACTTCCTCTTTTTCTTTTAATTGGTCTGCCTCTAAGCTGAAATTTCCCCAGTTGCAGTATAAAGTAGGCCTTTTCCCAAGATGGCTTTATTGTGTGTGGGATCACTACTTGAAGAATCATAAACTTACCCTTCAGTTCTGCACTCCCACTCAAGGTTGAGCAAGAAGTAGACTTAAGCAATAGCGGGAGATGTTCAATTCGTCATGAACTTCCTCACAAATGGAAATTGGCTCTTCCCCTGCCAACAGTGTAAAATCTCCTTCACTGAGGACCTTACAGTTGGAAAGTAAATCAACATATCTGAAATAATTTAGGAGAACCACAGTAGAGCAGCAAAAATCTTAAGGAGGTCTATTCTCATTTCTTTCTGGAGGAGAATCGTACGGCAAAAGGCATTCTCACTACATAGCAATACTTGACAATACTCATTGATAATGCAGACATCCAACACACTCTGAAATTTGAAAATTCAGTTTGACTTAAATGGGAAATAAATGACCTCATATTTTCTCAAACTTGACGTTTCCATGATTACAAATATTTTATGAAATAATTATTTTAGAGCATTAGGTTTGAGTTGTCTATACATTAAAATATATATGATTTAATGTAAATGCTTTTAAACTAGAAAATTTTTTTTCCCATTAAAACTATGTGTTCTTGCCGGGCGTGGTGGCTCACGCCTGTAATCCTAGCACTTTGGGAGGCCGAGGCGGGCGGATCGCTCAAGGTCAGGAGTTCGAAACCAGCCTGAGCGAGACCCCGTCTCTACCAAAAATAGAAATAAATTAATTGACCAACTAAAAATATATATACAAAAAATTAGCCGGGCATGGTGGTGCATGCCTGTAGTCCCAGCTACTCGGGAGGCTGAGGCAGTAGGATCGCTGAGCCCTGGAGATTGAGGTTGCTGTGAGCCAGGCTGACGCCACGGGCAACAAAGTGAGACTCTAGCCTGGGCAACAAAGTGAGACTCTGTCTCAAAAAAAAAAAAAAAAAAAACTATGTGTTCCAAATTCTGAAATCTCAATTGATTCTGAAAGGCAGCATGCCATCAATTAAGATGCTGAAGAATACTGTTTGAGGAGAGCTGAACACAATCTTTGGAAGGTCTCAGTGCTTGATAGTGTATTTGACTCCTGTTGATTGCAACAAATGGCACCTGCCTAGGTGGCAAGAGCCAGAGAAGCTCAGGACATGTCAGCACTCTGGAATGCATTAGAGATAAATATACGCCATGCGAGTGGAAAAGTGGTAGCATTCATAAGTATGAAAATTTAAGGAAGGAGGCTGTGGTAATGAAAATTCACAATACAACAGGGTGTCAAACCACTCTGGAAAATGTATTTGAATGTAAGGAGATGCCCTCTGTGATCATATCATCCAATTTCCCATTCACTTACAGACCAGCAGACAGAAAAGGCAAACTGAGGCAGGAATGCCCCTCCACGCCACGTCCCCAGGGTCACACAGCTAGTTGCAGAACAGAGCTGGAAGGAAACACACGTCTTCAGAATCCCAATCCAGAGCGCATTCAACAGCTCTGTGCTGCCCCTTAGAAGTGAGAAGAATCTCCTTGGGAGGGAGAAAAAGAATTTCCATGGCTCATTTAAAATACAACATGTATAATATGGAACTGAGCATTTATATTTCCATTTTGAAAATCCTAGTCTCCAAGCATACACTCAGATCACATCAAAAGAACTGAAAAGCACTGTCTTTCCCTTTTACTGGGTTCCTGAAATGGATCAAAGCACTGGGCTTTATTTATAAACACTGAATCCCCATTGTAACCTATAAACCTTCTCCCACAGTACCACTAGTCATAAAAAATACAGTTCTAACCCTTTAGCTATGAGTTCACCTGGTGCGGGAATTCACTAATTTTTTATGGCTGGAAAAAGCCAGCTAAATTTTTATTGCCATAATCCTTCTAAAATGCCAGACAGTGCAAAATGTAATTTTGTAGATTTTCTGCTGTCATTCTGGTTACATAAGCACCCAGGTTAGAAGTATTGGAGAGGTGATTTTTGTTTTAGCCATCTCCTTTGAGGCTTACAAATCAAAACCCCCTATATCTAGAATAAATTTAATACTTGGATAATTATGATTCCTTGGTCCATAATTCAAAATAATTTTCTAATTTTTGTCTGAAGCTTACTAAATGCAAAACTAAAGAAGGTAATGGGAAAAAGGCAAAAACTTTTTAAGTCTTCCCATCCAAAAGAAAGCAGGAAGTTGAAATGATGACGTGACCATCCTCCCCTCCGTGAGCTTCCTTTTTATGTCAGGTTTACTGACGTAAAATGAACATACAGCAAAACTCACTCTTTTTAGATGTACAGTTGTGAGAATTTTGACAAATACACAGTAGTGTAACCATCAGGATGATTAAGATATAGAACAGTCCCATCACTCCAAAAAGCTCTCTCACATCTCTTTATAGCTGGCCATTTCCTCAGCTTCAGCCATTGCAGACACAGATCCATTTCCTATGCCTGTCAGTTTTGCCTTTTCCAGAATGTCATATAAATTGAATCATACAGTGTTAAGGATTTAAGATTGGGTAGTATCAGAAGATAGGAACCTTGGATAGAACTTCGGGAGCCACAATTGTGAAAGAAAGGAAACCCCAAAAAGTATGACTAATAGTAGTGGACAGAGAGGTAGAAAGTATACAGGAAGACTATCTTACATTTAAATGAAGAGATGAAAACTTTCAAGAAGAACAGAAGAAATAGAAATAGAGATTTTGATAGACAGAGTTATAGAGAGAGGTACAGAGTTCATGGGAGAGTTGGAACTAGAGAGAGAGAGAGAGAGAGAGAGACAGAGATGGGAGGGGAAAAGAAAGGGAGAGAGAGGATAAAAGAAGAGGAGAAAAGAGAAGAGGGGAAGCGAAGGGAGAGGAAGAAAGGGCAAGAGAGAAGAAAGTCCACAGTGCCAAGCTATGCTTAGGGCAGCAAATAAATGCACAGTAAGTAGGACTGCCCAATGTAGCCTTATCTTTCAAGAGTCATATTTTTCTCTTTTCTCTGAACACCTATAGCATTTTCTCCATCATTATTATGGTTCTTAGGAAGCTCAACTGAATTATAGTTTCACTTAATTTCAGCATTTGTACTCTGACACCCTGAGCTATGGGATATTGGAGGCTACATGAACCATTAGCTCAATTAGACTGTAAAGTCCTTGATGATTATATTTTTTTTAAAGTCACCTTTGCATCCAGCCCAGTGTCTAGCAAAGTGTCTGGTAAAGGGTGGATGCCCACTAATATTTCTCATATGTCTATGAATGAATAAATCAATGGATTAAAGACACAAATATAAATTCTGTTTTAAAAAATACTGCACTCTTTTCAAAGAATAAATTTCATTGTAAATTTATTTAGATTACTTGAATCCTCCACTTCATATTATCTTTCACCTCTTGGTCATTTTCTGGCTCATGCAATTATATAACCCCCAAATTAATTCACAGTAAAAAAGGATCAATGCTAGACATGGACAGATGAATGCACCTCTGAGAAAATTGAACCATTATGGTTTGTGGACTATGAAATTATGTAGCAACACCAGGCATATGCCACAGAGCTTCATGAACTGTTCCTTCAGTAAGGCATCATTAATTTCCAGAATTCAATGAATGGAGCCCACCATAGGTGGTCATTTGTTTTGATGTTCTCCAATTATATTATTGCTGCATTCATAAAGTAATGCCACTGACCTGCCATCAATTTGCCATGTACCCGAGGCAGCTTTTAGTGCAGTGCAATGGATATACTTACCTTAGAAATGCAGCCAGCTCAGGCTGTGGTCAGTGGATACCATAGTCCAAGGTGAATGCTTCTATAACTTGAAGAAAACTCAACTACCTCCACCCACATTTCATAGATGCTTCCTGTTAGCTTGACCATAAAGCTTTTTGTTGTTTTTCTTCTTCTTAGAGAGAGAGAGAATGGTGTGAGAACAACCTGCCAAGGAATGTAATCTGAGCAAAGCAGACTATCACAATTTCTAAGTTCTATAAATTCTATTGTATCTGTTGCCATAATTAGGTGAACAGCTTGGTAATGAGGTCCATTTCTTTCTTCCTCAGCCTAGAGGAACATTCTGGAAACCAGAGGAAAAGTAAAGAAGACCTGGCTTCAGGTTTGATAATTTTGTCTTCAGAAATTAATCTTATCCTAAATATACTTCTAAGCTAAATTGTCTCTTGAGTATTATTTTTTATTTTAGGGGTGTGTGTGTGATCACAATTTTTTTTCTTGACAATAAGAAATAACCCTTATTTTCCACATCAGCCCCTAGAGAGAGTTAAGAGGATCGAGTGCCCAGTTACCCTGCGACTGCCCTACAGAACCCTAACTTAATTCACCCTCCTGCTCATGAAGTGAGTTCTGCCAAAGATTGAGAAGTGGACTGCTAGGAAAAGGGTCCTTGGGTCCTCGTTTTCTTGGACAAGACTAACATCTGTGAGAAGAACTTAGTTTTCTCAAAAGAGAGTAGAGGATCTCAGGGAGGAGCACTATGTCCAGGGGGTCTGAACACTACAAACAAATGAGTCTAAGAAGTGGTAAATAAAGAGAAATGTGATCTGACCCACACCCAGCCCTCTACTGACCCCATACAGAGAAAGTAGGATGTTTCTGAGGTAGATTAGTTCAATTGTTTGGGGCAAGGACCGGGTACAGCTGGAAGTAACTTGAAAGATGGCCTGTGGCAGAGTTAGGAGTATCTGGAGGAACATGAGGAAAAAATAAGTAACTACAGAGCAGATAGTTTAGGATTAGACATAAGACAAACACAATTTTCTAATATACTGCCAATGTTTGAATTAAGGGGAGAGGGTGGTAGAGGAAGGAATCCTTAGAGGACAATATTTGCATTGATAATAATTCTTATGATACCCCATAAAGTTGAAATGCTGCTACTCATAGTAGACTGCATAGCTCATCTAAGGACCATCCTTCTTGAAGAAAGCTCAGTTATGAAATACCAAAATAATTTTAATTTTAAAGAATATACTGGGTTAAATAGTGTCCCTCAAAAACACATATTTACCCAGAACTTTGGAATGTCACCTTATTTAGAAATAGGGTCTTTGAAGATGTAATGAAATTAAGATAAGTTCATACTAGATTAGGGTGGGCCTTAATACAATGACTGTCCTTATGAGAAGAGGGAAATTTAGACCCAGAGACACAC